TTACCTTGAAAAACATTGCTGCCGTATTTCTGATATAGTTTTTTTGCAAATTTCTCAGTTTTTAATAACAATTAATTTATTTTACTATTTTTTCTTTACCTATAACAGCGCCAGACGACACCTCCAGAGGAATGACGCCAATTTTGAATCACTGTATTATTATGTTTATTCTGTAAGTTTTTATTTGAAAAGAACGATAGTTTAATTGCTCAAAAATCTTATTTTAACACATTTTTGCATATCTATATGTTATATACATGTACATTTACAATTGAAATCAGTATATGTACTGAAAAATCAGTGAGCTTAGCAAGCCTGTTGGTTGTGTAAAACACAGATGTCAATCTCACTCTCTTACCGATAGACTTCTAGCATGTACGTTTTCCAGGTACCTAAGCTGTACGTACTAAGTAGGTACAAGCAGATTTAGTATAATATTGGTAAATATTGTACGTACATGGTACGTACTTAGTAAGTATTAACATGTATTAACACCAACGTTAAAGCTGGATTTATAGTCACCGTAACACAAAACGCAAGCCGTAAGACGTAAGAGGTAATTTGCAATTTGTCATTTGCATAGTTGACGTAAGACGTAACAGTAAAGCTAGGTTATATTGCTTGGTTAGAGAGGTTATTTAATCCCCTCATAAGAATATTTGTTGATTAAATGGATTCAGACGACGAAATTATTGTTGCTTGTGTGTTATTATGCTATATTAAATTATTATCTAACCATATGTAAAGACTGAAATTGCCGTTATCTGCAGAAATCAAAGCATAATTAATTTATGCCAGCCGCCAGCTGGAAGCTTCAAAAGTAGCGGAATGGCAACGCTTTACGTGAGACGTAACGCAAGAAATGGAATTCGCACCACCCATCGCGAATTCCATTTCTACCAGTAAATCGACTTTACACAGTTCTCGAACACGTTAAAGGCACAAAATCAGAAAATCTAACATTTAATAAAAACAGGACACATCTTAGGTTAAAAATTCGACTGACAGCAAGCGGCAAGTATATAAATTGCCTTTTGTAGCGCAAACGGCAATCGTCAGCGCAAACGGCAACGACAACGTTCAGTTTATAAATGGGCCTTTAATCGCGATTAAAGTCTGTCGGTGCATACGGGCATTAAATGCGTTTAGTTTTAGCGGCAACGCTGCATGACAGACAATGACGGATAAGTGACATCAAAACCAAAACATGCATTTTAAGTGACCACAACACGCGAGAGTGTTAAATTTGCTAAATATAAATTAGTTCAAATTCGCAAATACCATGGCTGATGAAGAATTTGAAGATAATGATGTCGGTGAGGACTTTGAAGACGACGTAGACGATGATAACATCGAAGAACTGGAACAACCTGATGAGGAAGGCGACAACATAGATATTTTGCAACCTGGTAAGGGTGCCCCCAAAGTGTGCAGTTCTTATGTATCTAATAAATACGAGGTTTCAGGTCAAGCTGGAGGCGGTGTGCCAAAAAACAAGCGAATTACAACCAAGTACATGACCAAGTATGAAAGAGCTAGAGTGCTTGGAACACGTGCCCTACAGATCGCCATGTGCGCCCCCGTCATGGTGGAGTTGGATGGGGAAACCGACCCCTTACAAATCGCTATGAAAGAACTGAAGCAGCGCAAAATTCCCATTATCATTCGACGTTATCTCCCTGACCATTCGTATGAAGACTGGGGTATCGATGAGTTAATTATTATAGACCACTAGGAATTGCTTTATATTACTGTAAATACACTTATACTTTTGGTACCAATGTTTGTTTAGTGTTTAACGAAAGTGAACCTCGATACCGGCAAATTTAAATATAACCTTAAAATAATTAACATCCAAGTGAAATATATTCAAAATGGCGCCTGGTGGGCACACTTGGTTCTAACCTCTTTGCCAAACTGTGTTTTTCGATGATTCTAGCAGGCTTTTCGAAGCGTTATGCGCTTATTTTGGTGCCGGTGACGTTTGAGTCCCTCCGAATTTTTGGTTTTTTCTCTTTTGACCTTAAAAAACACTTCAAATTAAGCATTTTCAGCGAAAAATTTTCTGGATGGCCCATAACTTAACCCTACATTGCGCCATTTTCTCAATTACAATAAAAATATATTGTAACATATAAAGGTGAATAGTAAATAGTAAAGGAAAAAATAATTTAAAAAATCCAAGTCAACTAGAATACATTTATTTCCTTATATTTGTAAATGTAGCTAACATGATACATAGTGCAGTAATGCCCACTTGCACCACTAATAAATAAGCCTGACTTTTCGGAAAGCCGAGCTTGATTGTAGAAATTGTTTGCACGGTTGTTTAAGCCTGGCTTAAGGAACGAAAAGCTCGGCTTGAATTAAGCCTACTCAAGTGACTGCTTAAGGCGCATTTATATACTTGCCGTTACCGTTTGCTGTCAGTCGAATTTTTAACCTAAGATCTTTCCTGTTTTACTTGGAGAGACAAGGTTTAATTTTGTCTCAGATACTTTTTTTTAAATCTTAAAATCGATATGGAGGCAGCCCCAAAAGTGGTTTGTACATGTAAGGCAGCGACAACGGGCGCAAATGCTCCCCTTTCCCACCAGGAAGCTTTGGATTTATGTGGAACTCAAGCTTCAATTGATACAACTGTATGAGTATTTGCCATTTTTCGGAATAGTTTTCACACGTTCACCCTTATCAGGATTATGTCATGCAACAGACGATGTTTCGTATAAAGGACCCGAAAGTTTCACTACCATTCTACTCGAACGTGTTGGGAATGAAGCTGTTAACCAAGGCCGACTTCCCATCGATGAAGTTTAGTTTGTACTTCATGGGCTATCAGAGGAGTACGCCGGGACAGTTGGGCTCAATAGCTCGGACCGAATGGGCTCTAGAGCGGAAAGCCACAATTGAACTCACTCAGTAAGTATAATTTAACACATGCAGAAGAAAAGCTAATTCTTAACTCACCGCTCGTTTCTTGATTTCCTTTATCTTCATTTTACGAGCTTTCACAATACTTCAGGTCAAGCATTTCAACACTTGCTCACCCCATCGAAATCATGATTGTCACAAACTACAATGTTACTTGTAGCCCCTGGATGTACGAGTTGCTCCTAATAATTCCCTTCTTCTAAGTCTGTCCATGCTGACATGTAGTTTCTTGCAGGTAAACCACAACTTGAGCACTATTTCTCTACGGAAAATAATGAAAAAT